CTGAGCCCTAATGGTGTGTCATCCTTAGTCCCCTCCTCTCCAGGCTCAGGGAGCTATACAGAAGATGGAGAGTGGAAAAAATTGTAAGAACCCTAGATTGAATGACTCCAAGTAAATGGTGTCTTTCAGACACATAGGACTGGTGTGCTTGTGATCCCACAGAAGCTGTGGCAGCATGCACAGAACCTATACAGACTCAAGTCACACAGGGTCCTGGTTCTCAGAGGGTGAAGTGGATAAGAGCTTCCCACGCCTAACCATGAATGTATCTTCAATTGACATGTTTGCAAAGAAAAAATTAGTTTTCTCTAATGGAGTCTCACTGCGTATATTAAATATTCTTTATGGTAGGCCTCATGTCCAGGAGTACATGGCCAAGATGAAATTAACTCAGTTGTATTCTTGTAGACTTTTAGCCTGATATTGCTTTGCTTTGTTTGGCCATGGTTTTTGTCCTACTGGTTTTTTGCTTGTATATTGTGGTTTCTGATTTGAGGTTTTTATGGGTTATGTTTGTGTGTGTGTGTGTGTGTGTGTGTGCGCGCATGCGCGTGCTTCTTGTGCTTTCTCTCTTTTGTTATTTTTTGTTTTGTTTTATTCTAATTTGTTTGCCTTTTTGTGGATTTCTAAAGAGAGAGCAAAAAAAAAAAAAACTATGGAGTTGTGGAATGGGCCTGTGGGCAGTATCTGGAAGGTGTTGGGGAACTGAAATATATTGTCTGAAAAATTATTTTCAATAATAAAAATAGAAAATACCAAAATCCTTTGCAAAAAAAAGCCTCATTCTGGGTTTCATAGCAAGTTCATCTTATTTTTACCCTTCTATTTAGAAGCTGAGCGGGTGATTTTTCCCTTATGCTCTGGTAGTACCTGATCATAGAATTCCGGTAAAGAGGTACCCTGAAGACATCTGGCCAACAGCTGGACCGTGTTATTAGTGGTCTACTAATTTAATTTGGCAGTGGGTCAAATACCAAAAAAAAAAAAACCCTTCTGGCATGCATACTATATTAATAGGGTACCTTACATGCAAGGGCCTGTGTGCATACGGTATGAAATCACATAAAGAAAACACAGAATGGCTGCAGACCATGAAAGAGGCCCATTGCCAGGATGGAAGGCAAACACAGTATCCGCCTAGGAATGATTAGGAGACAGTTGGCTTGCTAGTGTATTGCCCACATGTTGGCCAGGTGGCAGAAAGAATCTTCCTCCTTTGGAGAGTTAGCCGTAAAGGGACAGGCAGCTTGGAAATTAGCTCGTATATGCCAAGTCTGTACATTCTACAGGATGCTTTTTGTCGGCCTTGGCCGGAACAAATGCTGCGACTGAAGCAGGCATCCATCTATCTAACCAAAACCAAGTAAACTCGTTCTGGATTCCAGGTTCTAATGGTAGGAGCCGAGGAAACAGTACTGAACAAAAGAAAGGCCCCTGTCTCCAGTGCATTATAACTCACGAAAATGATTCTCTGTCACTAGTCACATCATTAGTGATGTATAACTGCTATGGATTGTAACTCCGATAGCTATTATGAATGATTATAACCAGTGATTGAGGAGCAATGTATCACTCTCTGAAGGAAACTAAACAAGGCAGGGAGATATTGGAGGGAGATGTCAAAGGTTGGCTCCTGAGAGGTAAAATTTCCCCTGAGCTAAACCGTGAGAAGAGGTAAAGCCAACAGTACACACAAAGGCCACTGTTTTTCTTAATTGACTTCCAAGGGTGACCAACCTGATCCCGGACCAAGACAATATCCTGTGCCTGTGACAGCTGTGTCTGAGTGTGACCTCCTTTATGGCAGGTTGTAAAAGGACAAAGATCCAGTAGAGAGACTGTTTGAAGCGTTCAAAAGGACAGAAGTGTCAATTCGCTGGCCGTGCCTCCCATACCACCTGCAGTAAGGGCCCCTGCAGTCATGGATGGTAAAAAAAGCCTCCAAGCGTCTCAAGGCTGATTCTAAGTAAGAGGCGATGTCACTAATCAGACAGCACAGAACACATAGGCAGCTCAAGGTCATCCCTAGGAAAAGGCTTATGTAGCACTTTCACTTTTTCAAGTTTTAATTAAGCCATATTTCTTCTTCTACAATAATATACTCCCCATTTCTTTCTTTCTGAAGATTTATTTATTTAATGCATTTGAGGGCTTTGCCTTCATGTCTGCCCTTATAGACCTGGTGGCAAAGAAGGGCAGAGGAGGTGTTGGATCCTCTGGGACTGGAGTTACAGACAGTTGTGAGCTGCTATATCGGTGTTGGGAATTGATCCCTGGTTCTCTGGAAGGACAGCCAGCATTCTTAACCATTGAGCCATCTCCTTAGCCCCTCCTTTAAGTAAGAAAACAAGAGGCTTGCTTTTTTTGATCCTGGGACTTAAACTCCCTTCCCAGACAGGTTCTGAGGCTTTCCTCAACTTGTGAGCTCTTATTTGACTAACAATGGCACCACAGCTTAAAAATAGAGGACTCTGGAGTTAGGCTACCTGAATGGAAATCCTGCAGACACTGCTGCTTTGCTTGGCTGTGTGATGTGGAGCAGGTTGGACCCATCCTCCGTTAGTTCTGTCATCTATAAAATGGTGGTTTGTTGGATTAGTGGTGCGCGAGTTAGGGAGGTCATCTGTTCTCAAAATGTCCTCCATCAGAGTCAGAAGGCAGGCAACGAGCAGGGAAGGATGGAAGAAGCAGTCAGCATTCAAGCTGGCCACAGAGTCCACCCACACCAGTCTTCTCAGCATCAAGAGTATCTGGCTTCCTCAGACATTTTAGCCCTTATGTAACAGATTTCAAAAGAGGGCAGAGGAGAAAAAGTGACATCATTCCCTTTCTCAAGCTCAGCTTTCAGAAGGCTCTAACGAGGTGCAGGGAGTCAAAGTACACTTGTTTCAATTAAATATTAAAACAGCTGCAGAAAAAAAATGGGGTAAAAGAGAAGTAGTTTTGCAGATGTGTGGCCATCCAGAGTCTGCTTTTCTCCTGGCTCCCAACAAGGGATGAGGGAGAACATTTGAAAGCTCTTGCCTTCTTTTGAGGTCACTCACCGCTGATTCCATTTTAATAGTACACCTCTGGGTGATTAATAATTTTTCAATAACAAGTCTAGGAGCAAAAGAGGCCCTAATCAAGCGCTCTCCCCGAACGCCTGTAAACATTTATTATTTTATGCCCTTCTGTTCTCCTTTTTCCAAGGCCTGTGACCAGGCTTGTTCCTTTTATATGCCAACGGCAGATCTAATTTGTGTAGCACTGGTTGTTCATCTAATGTCCCTCGCCTGTTCCTCTGTAGATTGGCGGCCTGGTGAATGTTTCAAAGCCACGGAGTGTTATATTACTGATCTTTGTTTTCTCAAAGGCTGGCATAGCTCCTGGAACACTGGTTTCCACTGAAGCTTGTTTAAGGGAAGATTAAAATGGAAGAAACTAGGTAACGACGTGAGGCGCCATGTTAGAAATATAATACAGAATAACACTTAGAGAAAATTAAGCCCTGTGTGTTCGCACATGCTACTGAGAGTAAAAAGAAAATTAAAAGATGGTGCTCTAGCTAGAGTTGGGAGGGCTAATGAGCACTGATTTTTTTTATATACTTTTGATAATATAGATGGAGGTGACCAGTTTATTACCACAGAAATTGAAAAGAGATCTCAGGAGGGAGCTAAGTCCAGCCAGATTCAGTGGTTACCTGGGGTTCCTTTGTGGTGAGCTTCCAATTGCAGTAGAGAATGAAAACAGTGAGTATTCCTTGTCCATGTGATGTTGTGATGGTAGCAGGACAGCCTGACTGGTATGCTTGTATCTGGAGTTTATTGTGGATGCCTGAACCACCAGGCCCTAGGGTACATATTATCCTGGTGTTTTCAGTCTCAGCCTGTTAGGGTATGATACATCTGATCTAGCCCTTGTTCATTGTTCAGCAAAGAGCCCAGATGACTCTATCATACACGCACACACACGCGCACGCACACACACACACACACACACACACATCTCCACCACATCTTACACTCGCGTACATTTCTTACGTACCAACCAGTAGGGTGCTGAGGACGAACAGAGGAAGTATCTTGAGGATGGATTCAGCAGGCATTCTCTGTACCCAGTGGATATTGTTGGTATCTGTAGCTGAGCTAAAAGCAAACCCCAGCCTCTTCCACATTTCCTGGCACAGAGGCGTCTAGGGCAACTGAAGGCAGCAATAGCCCAGAGAGAACTGAGTGTGGAGGCTTGTTACCCGAGAGGACAGTGTCTGACAGGAAGCAGTAGGCTTCTAGTAGGAAGATTATTTACTCCAGAACCTTGACTTGCCCTGAATCTGCCATGGCCAACGATTTACACACAGATCCAAATCTGGTCAATGTGTAGAGAACAGACTCCAGAGTGCTCGGCCCTAATGTGATGACTATATCACATCTGGACTCCAGTGCACTGGGATCTATGTGGGAAAGGGCAGTTGAAAGATTCTAAGAGCCAGAGGTGCTGGGTGACTTGAGAAGAACAGTGTTTCCCAGACACACTGGGGAAGATGTGTAGATGATATTATTCTTTTTAAAAATAATACCATGGTGGGATGTCCCGGGCAGCTCGCGGAGCAGCTGCTAGTGGCTGTGGGTCCCCGCAAGATCTCCAGGGTGGCAGCGCCATGAGGCTGGGGAGTCAGGGTCCCCAGGCGAGCGGCAGAGTCAGGCGGCTGGATGCGGTGGACGGCAGAGTAAATGGACATAAGGCTATATATAAAGCTAGACATTTATTACTTAAAGAAAGGGAGACATAAACAAATATAGAGAAAACAAAGACACACGTACACACGACACAAAACAAACACACACACGCACACGCACACACGCACACACGCACACATGCGCACACACACACACACACACACACACACACACACACACGAGAGAGAGAGAGAGAAGATGGCGGCAGGGGAAGGTCAGAAGTGGCTGGGGTGGGCGTGGTTAGTTCTTAAAGTGACAGCAGAGGAATCAGCAGAAGAATAACATTCCCGAATCCTTTTTGTAATAAAAAGTAGAAGGTTAGACATTACAGGTTGAAGGAATTGGGGCGGTGAATTCTCAAGGCTGCTTCTGGCTGATTTGTGGGCGTTGTTTTTGGGGGGGGGGTGTAAGGAAGATCCGAGAGAAGGCTGAATGCTGGTCACATTTTGGCATAGCTGGTCTCTGCTCCCAACAGGTGTCTGTGGCATGGAAATGTCTGGTGTCCCTTGTACCTGGTTAGGGTGTTGGCAGAACAGAGGATAAAGTTAAATTGAGAAAAAAATTTTAGGACCAGGGAATTGAGGGGTTTGTATCTGACCTGTTTATGATGGGTTCTTTAATTTGGCTCCCTGGAACTTATCAGAAAAACAGAAGTTTTAGACATATACATTGTATTAAGAACTCCTTGGGTTTATAAAAACAGAAATTATAATGAAAAGTATTTTTATTTGGTGAGACAACCTGGCAAAACCTCTCAGCTATCAGACTGTCAGAGATCTTTGAGAAGGATAAGATTTTACTTGAGTTACTGATTAAAAAATGACAGAGAACTTACTTGGTTGGCACCCAGAGCTACTCTTTGGTCCTCCCTGGTCGCTGAAGGTTGCATTTGACCTTTGTTGTTTAATGTAGAGCCTGCCAGGCTTTTGAAGACCCTGTGGACTAAGAAATCTTTAGGAAGACAGGCCTACCTTGACCCTGGGCAGCTAGACTGTCGAGGCCTACCTTGACCCTGGGCAGCTAGACTGTCGATTCCAGTGATTTTGTCCATGTTTGGAGGTCTCCAGTTTAGGTGAAAGGCAGTTTTTTGCCCAATGGTCAGCGCTTGGCAGTCGAAGGAAACTGCAGATGAACGTTGGTCTTCTGTCTTCTCAGAGGAAACAGAGTGCTTGCTAGGAGCCAACCTGTCTCTTTTTGTTATGGAAAGTTTTTTAAATAATTAAACATTTAAATATTGCATTCCCCAGATCTCTGAGCAGTGAGGGCTGATTATTAGGTATAGCTGCAGTATAGAATCTGTCTGGAAGATTGGGTTTGAGTTTGACTGTATTGACTCTTAACAGGTAAGATCCATATTTGTAAAAAGACAGACAGAAAGAAAAAAAAACTGTTTGTAACATTAAGATTAGTGGTAGAACTGACAATGGTAGAAAACAGCTTAAAAGTCCATACCAGTTTATGATTTTGTAGTCTGAAACGAGATGAAATGAACAATCATTATACATAGAGAGATTGAACAGGAATTAGGCAAAGTGTATGTTTCTGATGGGCCCTATCAGAAAGCATGTCACTATGCAAAACACCTATAATCAGAGTTAACGAGAACACCGAGGAGGGGGAGAGGAAAGGCAGGACATACATAAGAATGAGAAAGCTTGGTCACGTGATCTGGCTCTCACTGAATCTAGCGATAAAGTCACCTGACCCCAATGAACATGGCGGCGGCCACGTGTTGTGGCTTGAATGGAAAGCCATGGGAATTTTAAAAGCCGGGGGCCGCCTGGTTGTTGAATCATGAAAAACCTGCATAAACAGACAATTTAAGGCATATTTAGGCTGGTATGACTTGCTTTTCCAGGTCAAGACCGTGAAAATCCCTCAAAAAACGTGGCATCTCGAGCCTATGGGGAACAGCTCCCTGTTTAGGTGAGATGCAAATCGTAATCAACCACCCAGGACACGTGGGTGAGCGTCCTCAATCCATGTGTGGGGTGGTATTGGCCAAACCGGATCAGCCTTTTCCGTGAGAAAGATGAGAAAGAAGAATAGAATGAAATAAGAGAGGAAGACGACTGGAGGCCCCGGGCCACCAGGTGAGACAATGCATGGGCTTAACAGGATGCAAGCCGTACGCCAGCGACAGGGCGGAGAAGTACCCCTCTCCGAGCCCAGAAACACAGGGAGGACCGGTCAATCCGGGTTAAAAAGGCTCAGATACGCTGGCTGGAGTGAGGAAACTTACAATTAGAAGCTGGTGTTGTTTGTAGGAAGGAGTCCAGGCAGTTGACGGGGTTGAGAAGTCCTCGATTCCAATTCAATCCCGGAAGTTGGTGGTCAGAGTCCCAGACAAAAGGTAAAGCTGGAACCCTGGCCCTTGGCAGGTGAATCTGTTGAGTCCCGGCACCAATATTGTTCTTTTTAAAAATAATACCATGGTGGGATGTCTCGGGCAGCTCGCGGAGCAGCTGCTAGTGGCTGTGGGTCCCCGCAAGATCTCCATGGTGGCAGCACCATGCGGCCGGGGGAGTCAGGGTCCCCGGGCGAGCGGCAGAGTCAGGCGGCTGGATGCGGTGGGCGGCAGAGTAAATGGACATAAGGCTATATATAAAGCTAGACATTTATTACTTAAATAAAGGGAGACATAGACAAATATAGAGAAAACAAAGACACACGTACACACGACACAAAACACACACACACACACACACACACACACACACACACACACACACACACACACACACGAGAGACAGAAGATGGCGGCAGGGGAAGGTCAGAAGTGGCTGGGGTGGGCGTGGTTAGTTCTTAAAGTGACAGCAGACGAATCAGCAGAATAACAGATGAATTCCAACAATTGTGGCAGTAGGCACAAGACCTGTACATGCCCCAGGCCACACAGAATCCCAGGGTGGAGAAGAAGATGGGTACAAGCTCTTACCTCTAGCTGGGGAGTTAGTGGCATTTCATTACTGTTGGGAGAACAAAAGTCAGTTTTGTTTTTTATTGTTGTAATTAGTTTGCTTTTGATGTGACTTCTTGTATATTGACTGTGCTCCAAGACAGGCCCCATGCCCAGGACTGGTCAGCCAACACTAACTAAACTTGATGAGAGAGGGTGAAAGGGACACACACACACACACACACACACACACACACACACACACACGGGGGGGGGAATAGGGATGTGAGAGAAACTTGGAAGAGTTGGGGGGGAGCGGGGAATATGATCAAAATATATTGTATGAAATTCTCTGAGAATTAAAGAGCAGATGAAAATGGCCGAGGGAGTCTGTTTGGATATGACTTTGCATAGTAGGAGAGATAAAAATAAGTATGCTTGTGCTTTTTATCTCCAATTATTCATTTTCTAACTGAGAATATGAGAGTTATCCAACGTATAAAGAAATGTAGACCTGAAATCTCCAAGTAATTTTATACAGATTTGTTTGCTCTCAACTATTCTCAGCACGTTTTTTAAAAGTTGATCTTAACCTTCCCCTTTGGCAGATTCTGAGGTGTCCTGGCTTAGGATACAGCTCATCCTTGCACGTTTAGTTGGATCCTCACCTAAGGCTCAAGGCACCTCAAGAAAGTTTTAGAATTCTTGGAACTTGGGTATGCCTCACCTACTCCTTTATCTTGATGTCTCCTGTTGCTGGTATACTAGGCAGAAACTCTCAGAATGGGGCTAAAGAGATGACTCAGTGGTTTAGAGCATGGACTGTTCTTTCAGAGGACAGTACCCACATCGGGTGGCTCACAACCACCTGTCACTCCAGCTCCAGGAGATTCCAAGGCCTCTGGCCTCCTCGGGCACCTGATCATGTGAACATACCCAAACACCGACATATAATTCAAAATTTAAAAAGCTTTAAAAGGTAGTTTTCTGATCACAGTTATTCTCCGTATGTTGGTAAGATGGTTGTAATAGTCCTGTTTGGATTGTTTGGCCTGATAGAAATTCTATATTTTCTTTAAAACCCAATGTGAATTCAATTACTTTGACTCAAAGGGTAGGATGAGTTTTAAAGTGGACTTGGGGTAAGGAGGCCACAGGCTATCTGTGTTTGCTACTGCCCTTATATAAAGCAAAGATGAACTCTCTCTTATCTTCTAGACAGGAGGCAAATCTACAGCTTTGAGTGAGGAGCAAAAGTATGCAGCAAAACATTCCCCACAGGAAGGGAACATACAACATCTTTTCTCTTGGCCATAGTCTGAAAGGAAGGGTCTGTGATCTTCAAGATAGGCAGATCTACATAGTGAATCTAGCATGGCTTTCAAAATGATTTCTACCCTCAAAGGTGCAAAGCAAGTACTTATGATAATAACTTCCTACGTGGAACAATGTTTTTCTTTAATAATTACTTTTTATTGATTTATGAATAATACCATTCAAAATTTCCACTTCCTCCCCTTCTTCTGTCCCGCTCCCTCACTCACTCTCCCCCCTCTCCTGGTGTTTTTAAGGAGGCAGAGTACTTTATTTGTAAGTTCATCCGGGGCTCTGTGAGAGCTGAGGTGAAAAACAGGTTTGGCCTGAAGGCAGGATACTTAATCTAAAAAAAAAAAATTAAGTTGAAGAATTGGCTGTTTGGGGATGCTATTGTGCCCACATTTGGGTTAGGACAGGGAGACACAGGAAGAACAAGTCTAGTGATGATGTTCAAAACCTGATCAGTTCCAGCCTCTCCAAGGTTTGTTTTTCTCCATTATCAGGTGCCCACGATACAACACTGAGTTTTTTTTTATTGTTTTGTTTCTTATTATTTTACTGACTGTTAAATCCAGTTTACTTGCATTGTGTGTGCACCACCATGGAGACAGCTCAGCTTGAAAGTGGCTTAGAGGGAAAGGGGAAAGAGAAAAGGATGGATAATTATAGTTGGAGAGTCCCCAGCCATCGTCCTCACACCTCATTTCATACGGTCTTCAACCATATGTTCAGAATGGAGCTGACAATGCACATACACATAGCAAAAGGAGGAAAAGTCCTGCTGGTATTGGTGGTATTGGAACAAGTCCTGCTTGTTCGTTCCCGGTCACCCAGACCCAAAATATGCACACAGAAACTGCATGAATTAAAACACTTTTTGGTCTATTAGCATATTCATATTTCTAGCTAGCTCTTATATCTTAAATTAACCATTTCTATTAATCTTTGAATCACCACGTGGTTGTGGCCTACCAGTAATCTTCCGTCTGGCATCCTGTATCTGTCTCCTGCAGTAGCTACATGGCTTCTCTCTCTCTCTCTGCCTTCTCTCTCTCTCTCTCTCTCTCTCTCTCTCTCTCTCTCTCTCTCTCTGTGTGTGTGTGTGTGTGTATATATATATATATATATATATATATATATAAAACCAATGGCAATAAGACATATTCATAGCATACAGAGGGGAATCACACATCACCTCCCCTTTTCTGTCTAAATAAAAAGGAAGGCTTTAACTTTAACATAGCAAGATTACATACAACAAGACAGTTATCAAGCAAGAATTATAGTTATAAAATCATATGTTCACTTAGAGGTGTCCTGGCTGGCACATTATAACTTTGGAAATAATAGGTCTATGCTGTAAGACTAATGTTGATTTCCAGTTTGAAAGTGCTTGTCTTTACAGTGAGGTTACAGATGCAAAGAAACACAATTTCAGCGGAATGTCTAGACAAAAGACAGAAGGCAAGAGGAGGAGATCTTGAAAACCCACCAAAAATTAAGGTCCTAGAAAGTAGTTGAGAAAGCAAGACACAGAGGGAAGCTAAGAAACAGAAATGACAAAAAGAAGAATCACATGCTAGAAGCCAAGATAGCAAGAAGTCTAGAGAAAGGCATTCCTAAGAGCCAATGGTGAAGTTAAGGATCATTGGCTACAAAAGGTACAGAGGATACTAAAATAAAATTATACAGGGTTGTAAAGAGAATAGTAGTAGCGGTCTAGGCACAAGCAGTAAGCTGCAGTTGAATATTGAGTGAGAAGGAAAATGTTTGAGTTGGAAAAAAGGGACCTTACTGTTTTCCAATGTAAGGGAAAGACATAAACTCTGGATCTCATATAAAAGCTCCTGTACTAAGTGCTGGTGTATTTACAGATGCCTGGTGGGCCCATAGTTACAGTCCTTGTTTCTTTTCCATCCCTAACATGTGTTCTCCACACTACTTGGAGAGGGAGCCTTTTAAGTGAACTCTAGAAGGGTATTCCTCCAAGAACCCTCCCCAGTCCAAGATGCTTTAAACAAGTTTCTGTTGAGGAAGATGCTATTGTGGACCAGAAGATCACTATATATGACTTATCTTGGCAACACGAGTGGGTTGCTTGGGCTTCAAGGAAGGATCTCAATGTCCCCAAAGGACATCGAAGACATGGCAGGAGCTGTCATTTTCAAAGCAGTGCATGAGAAAGCTACTATTTATGCTCGTGTTTTTCTATGAGTGGTATCTGTTTTCAAATAATAATCATTTACCAGCTTTAAAAATATTCCGTCTCTCTATTGTGCAGCCATAAAGATTTTGACAAATTATTGTCATTAATTTTTTGGTGACCACAGATCTTCCAGCTACGAGGAGCAGATGCATTTAGAAGAATCAAAATCATATCCTCTTATTTCCCCCTCTACATGCTCTCTAAAGTTACCCACATATTTATAGCAGATCCACATACACTGGTAGTTTAGATTTATGCCAGTTCCTACATCTAGGCATTTCCCACTCTTAACCTTTGTATCCGTTTCTATTCTGTGGCTCCCCTGGGAGCAGGCCTCCTCTACTCTCAATATCTCTCACCCGGTAAATGATCTCTTTCTGTTGTTCCATTTTTGTCTTTTCAATTCATCTCTCTCAGTGACCATCCTAAATCTGTTCTCCCTGGTAGTGTTCCCAGTGATATCTCAGTCCTCTGGGATGCTGAACAGGATGAAGGACAAGAAACAATTGAGAGAGGAGATCAAGGGCTCTTCAGGTACATTTCTGATTTTTGTCTGTAATGAGGTTGGTGAGCACATCAGCCCTCAAGGTGCATATGCACTTGGGGGAATTATAAACCAACTGAGAAACAGTAACAATTAAGCTCAAAATATTATCCACTGCCACTAGAAATAAATGAATATATCTAATTATAAAAACAATAACTCATTCGGTCCTGGCTAAAACCCTCACCAGGGCCATGAGATCTATTCACAGTGCTATTTTTAGGAAACATGAAACTCCATGCCAAGAAATAACAGCAAAGAAACTGACTTCAGAAGCAATGGTGTACTGAATGTTAGGAGGTCTTTTTCAGAATCCTGTTTAATGTCACTGGTTAAAACATAGTAAGATATGTTATTGACCACATTCAAGCTTCTAAAGTATTGTCTAAGTATGTCTCCAAAACTGATCTATACCCATAATTAAGTGAGACCCCAATTTGTGGTGGGGACCAAGGGAGGTCAGAGGAAGGCTTTGTTGGACGCTGGAATCAGGGCTGCCATCTTTAGTCTGTCAGAAGAGAGGAATA